TGAGGGGAGACCTTCTCGCTCTCTCCAACTCCCTGAAAGGAGGGTGTAGAAGGGGGGTCGGTCTCTGCTTCCAAGGAACAGGCCATGGGACAAGAGGAAATGGCCTCAAGTTGCGCCAGGGGAGGATCAGATTGGAGATTAGGAACAATTTTTACATGGAAAGGGTTGTGAAGCCTTGGAATGGGCTGCCCAGGGCAGTGGTGGAGTCACCATCTCTGGAGGTGTTCAAAAGACAGGTTGACATAGTGACATGGTTTAGTGATGGGGTTTTTTTTCATCAGAGTTTGGTTGATGGTTGGACTTGATGATCTTAAAGATCCCTTCCAACCTGGACAATTCTGTAGTTCTATGATATACTCCTACCAAGCCAGTAGGTATGTCTCACCTTGAAGCCTGTCAGATTGAAAGTCAGCCCAAGTGCCAAAGAGCATTGGGTTAAAATGCTTGCATTTTAACCGAAAAGTGTCTCACTGCTGGGCCTGGAGAACTACTCATCTGTAGGCACCGGGTGATCTCTGGGGCAGTTATAAGGTGTGGTGTAAGGTGCGGTCACCATCTTGTCTGGAAAGGGCAGGAATAAAATGGACAGCTCAGCCAAAATTGGGGAGAAGTCTTCATGGGTAAAAGTCTACCAAAGTCCAGTGGAGGTACAGTCTTGCCTCGTGATGTTGATCAGGACCCTGTGTAACTGTCAGAAATAAAGAACAGACTCCCACCTTCTGGTCAACTGCTTGTCTGGAGAGCAGAGGAGGCCAGATGACACACATCACACATTTGGCTTGTGCTAATGCAACAGCCCCCATCAGTCTGTCCATTCACAAACCTGGATGGGTGTGTGTCGTGGTTTCAGCCGAAATCACCGCAACCAAACCAACAGATGGCCCTTCCCTCCCCCCCCCCCCAGAGGAAGAGATAAGGAGGCTGAAAAGTTTAGAATTAACTAAACTACTTTAATCAAAAATAATATTAAAATAAAAGAGAGGAAAATAATGAGATAGATACAACATCC